CTTTGTCTCAAGAAAGAGAGAGAGAGAGAGAAAAGAAGGGAGGGAGGGAGAAAGAAAGAAACCACCTGATTGTCTGAGCATGGTGGCTCATGCGTATAACCCCAACACTTTGGGAAGTGGAGGTGGTTGGATCACCTGAGGTGATCCAGCCTGGCCCACATGGTAAAACGCTGTCTCTACTGAAAATACAAAAATTAGCTGGGTATGGTGGTACATGCCTATAATCCCAGCTACTTGGGAGGCTAGGCAGGAGAATCGCTTGAACCTGGGAGGGTTTTAATTTGCATTTACCTAAAGTCTAATGATATTGAGCATCTGTTCATGTACTTATTTGCCATTTGTATATTTTCTTGAGAAAAAAACGTCTATTAAGTCATTTGGGCATTTTTTTGGTTGGGGGGCAGTAGAGACAGGGTCTCTGTATATTGCCTAGGCTGGTCTTGAACTCAGCCTCAAGCAGTCCTGCCACCCTGACCTCCCAAAGCGCTGGTATTAGAATGATGAGTCACTGTGCCTGGCCCCTTTGCCTAGTCTGGTTTTTGTTTTTTTTTTTTTTGAGATGGAGTATTGGTCTGTTGCCCAGACTGGGGTGCAGTGGTGCCATTTCGGCTCACTGCAACCTCTGCCTCCCAGGTTCAAGCGATTCTCCTGCCTCAGCCTCCCGAATAGCTGGGATTACAGGTGCACACCACATGCCTGGATAATTTTTGTATTTTTAGTAGAGGCAGGGTTTCATCATGTTGGTCAGACTGGTTTTGGACACCTGACCTCATGATCCACCCACCTTGGTCTCCCAAAGTGCTGAGATTACAGGTGTGAGTCACTGTGCCCAGCTGTTTTTTGTTTTTTTGAGATGGAGTCTCACTCTGTCACCTAGGCTAGAGTGCAGTGGCTTGATCCTGGCTTCCTGCAACCTCCACCTCCAAGGTTCAAGTGATTCTTGTGCCTCAGCCTCCTGAATAGCTGGAACTACAGGGACCCACCACCAAGCCTGGCTGATTTTTGTATTTTAGTAGAGGTTTTCTTTTCACTCTATTGGCCAGGCTGGTCTCAAACTCCTGACCTCAAGTGATCCACCCACCTTGGCCTCCCAAAGTGCTGGGTTAAAGGCATGAGCCACCATGCCCAACCAAGACAGGTCTTGCTTTTCTCCATTGTATTGCCTTTGCCCTTTTGTCAAATATTGGTTGATTATATATATGTGGGTCTTTTCTAGGCTGTCTGTTCTGTTCTGTTGATTTACTTGCCTACTATTTTACCAATATAGTATCTTGATTCTTGTAGCTTTGTAGTAAGTCTTGAAGTTGAGTCTCAGTCCTACAACTTTGTTCTTTTTCTTCAATATGGTGTTTGGTTTTCTGGGTCTTTCACCTCTCCATATAAACTTTAGAATCAGTTTGTTGATATCCATAATAACTTGCTGGGATTTTGGTTGGGATTACATTGACTAAAGATCAAGTTGGGAAGATCTGACATCTTTTAAAAAAAATTTTAAAAAATTTTTTAGAGATAACATCTCCCTCTGTTGCCTAGGCTAGAATGCAGTGATGTGAACTTAGCTCACTGTAGCCTCAAACTCCTGGGCTCAAGTGACTCTCTGGGCTTATTCTCCGGAGTGCTGGGACTCCAGGCACATCCCACTACACCCAGCTACAGATACCTTGGCCGCATAGTTTTCCTATCCATAAGTATGAAATCTCTCTCAATTTCCTTAGTTATTCCTGACTTCTCCCTTCAAGGTTTGTAGTTTTCCCCGTATAGATCTTGTACATATTTTGTTAAAATTATACCTAAGTATTTCCTATTTTTGGTTGCTAATATAAATGGTATTATTGCATTGTCGTTATTGTTTTTGAGATAGAATCTCACTCTGTCACCCAGGCTGGAGTACAGTGGTACAGTCTTGATTTGCTTCAACCTCCACCTCCTGGGTTCAAGCAATTCTTGTGCCTCAGCCACCCAAGTAGCTGGGATTACAGGGGTGCACCACATGCCTAGCTAATTTTTGTATTTTTGGAAAGATGGAGTTTCACCATGTTGGCCGGGCTGGTCTTGAACTCTTGGCTTCAAGTGATCCACCTCCCTTGGTCTCCCAAAAGCCTGGGATTACAGGCGTGAGCCACTGCACCCAGCTGGTATTGTGGGTTTTGTTGTTGTTGTTTTTTGAGATAGAATCTTGTTCTGTTGCCAGGGTGGAGTGCAGTGGCATGATCTCGGCTCACTGCAATATCCACCTCCTGAGTTTAAGCGATTCTCCTGCCTCAGCTTCCCGAGTAGCTGAGACTACAGGCACGTACCACCATGCCCAGCTAATTACTATATTTTTGGTAGAGATGGGGTTTCACCATGTTGGCCAAGAATGGTCTTGATCTCTTGACCTGGTGATCTACCTGCCTCAGCATCCCAAAGTGTTGAGATCACAGGTGTGAGTCACTGTGCCCTGCTTTTTTTTTTATGTTTTTGAGACGGAGTTTCACTCAGTTGCCCAGGCTGGAGTTCAGTGGTGCCATCTCAGCTCACTGCAACCTCCGCCTCCTGGGTTCAAGTGATTCTCCTGCCTCAGACTCCTGAGTAGCTGGGACTGTAGGCACATGCCACAGTGCCAGGCTAATTTTTTTTTTTTTTTGAGACAGAGTTTTGCTCTGTCGCCCAGGCTGGAGGGCAATGGCATGATCTCAGCTCACTGCAACCTCCCCCTCCTGGGTTCAAGCAGTTTTCCTGCCTCAGCCTCCCAAGTAGCTGAGATTTCAGGCGCCTGCCATCATGTCCAGCTAATTTTTGTATATTTAGTAGAGACGGGGTTTCACCATGTTGAGCAGGCTGGTCTTGAACTCCTGATCTCAAGTGATCCACCCACCTTGGCCTCCCAAAGTACTGAGATTATAGGCATCAGCCGCTGTGATCACCATGTTGGCCAGGCTGGTTTCAAACTCCTGACCTCATGTGATCTGCCCACCTCAGCCTCCCAAAATGTTGGGATTAAGGCATGAGCCATCAGGCCTGGCCTGTTTTTTTTTGTTTTTGTTTTTGTTTTTGTTTTGAGACGGAGTCTCACTCTGTCACCCACGCTGGAGTGCAGTGGCACGATGATCTCAGCTCACTGCAACCTCTGCCTCCTGGGTTCAGGCAGTTCTCCCTGCCTCAGCCTCCTGAGTAGCTGAGACTACAGGGTCCTGCTACCATGCCTGGGTATGGTATTGTATGGTATTTTAAATGTGAAATTCCACTTGTTTGTTGCTGGTATATTAGTAAGCAATTGACTTTTGTATATTAAACTTGCATCCTGCAAGTTGGCTATAATGCTTATTAGTTCCAGGAGTTTTTTTGTTGATTCTTTAGATGATATGATTGTATCATCTGTGAATACTGATTTGTTCCCAATCAGTATACTTGAGAGATATTGGTGTGTTGTTTTCTTTTCTTTTTTGGTAATGTTTTTGTCTGATTTGGTATCAGGGTAATCCTGGCCTCGTAGAATGAGTTAGAAGGTATTCTCTCAGCTTCTATCTTCTGAAAGATATTGTAGAGAGGCCGGACGCGGTGGCTCAAGCCTGTAATCCCAGCACTTTGGGAGGCCGAGGCGGGTGGATCACGAGGTCAAGAGATCGAGACCATCCTGGTCAACATGGTGAAACACCATCTCTACTAAAATACAAAAAATTAGCTGGGCATGGTGATGCGTGCCTGTAATCCCAGCTACTCAGGAGGCTGAGGCAGGAGAATTGCCTGAACCCAGGACGGGGAGGTTGCGGTGAGCCGAGATCGCGCCATTGCACTCCAGCCTGGTTAACAAGAGCGAAACTGCGAAACTCCGTCTCAAAAAAAAAAAAACATATATATAATCTTATTGAAATCATCTATTTATTCTTTTTTTTTTTTTTCAGATAGTGTCTCACTCTTTCACCCAGGCTGTAGTGCACCGGTGCGATCTCAGGTCACTGTAACCTCCACCTCCCAGGTTCAAGCAATTCTGCCTCAGCTTCCCAAGTAGCCAGGACTACAGGCACCCACCATCATTCCCAGCTAATTTTTTTTGAGACAGTTGGAGTATCTCTCTGTCACCCAGGCTGGAGCACAGTGATGTGGTCTCAGCTCACTGCAACATCTGCCTGGAGGTTCAAGCGATTCTCCCTCAGCCTCCTGAGTAGCTGGGATTACAGGTGTGTGCCACCATGCCTAGCTAATTTTTATATTTTTTAGTAGAGAAAGGGTTTTGCCATGTTGGCTAGGTTGGTCTCAAACTCCTGAATCAGGTGATCCACCTGCCTCGGCCTCTCAAAGTGCTGGGATTACAGATATAAGCTTCCAGGCCTGGCCACCATCTATTTATTCTTGTGTAAGTTTTGGCAGATTTTGTCTTTTGGTCAGTTTCATCTAGGTTATCAAATTTGTGGGCACTGAGTTGTTCATATTATTATTTGATTTCATTTTCAGTTCTAATGTTATTTATTTTTTCATCCCTCCCTCCCTCCTTCCCCGCTTCTCTACTCCCTTCCTCCCTTCCTTCTCTTTCTTTCTTTCTTTTTTTTTTTGACACAGAGTCTCGCTCTCGCCCAGGCTGGAGTGCAGCGGCACTATCTCAGCTCACTGTAACCTCCGCCTCCCAGGTTCAAGTGATGCTTCTGCTCAGCCTCCCAAGTAGCTGGGATTATAGGCACCTGCCATCATGCCTGGCTAATTTTTGTACTTTTGTAGAGACAAGGTTTCACCATGTTGGCCAGGCTGGTCTCAAACTACCGACCTCAGGTGATCTGCCTGCCTTGGCCTCCCAAAGTGCTGAGCCACCTGAGCCACTAGCTCTGGCCTGTTTGTTTGGCAGGGGGGTTGGGTGGATGGAGTCTTGCCCTGTTGCCCAGGCTGGAGTGCAGTGGCACCATGATCTCAGCTCACTGCAACCTCTGCTTCCTGGGTTCAAGCAATCCCCTTTCTCCCTCCCTCCCTCTCTCTCTCTCTCTCTCTCTCTCTCTTTCTTTTCTTTCTTTCTTTCTTTTTTTTTGGGGGGGTTTCACTATTTATGACAAATACTCCACATCTGTGATTCTCTCCAATCAAAAGTGTTTTGAGACGGTGCCATCAGCCTTGGCCAATCAGAGAATGGAATCATCTGACTCACCCATCCTACATATGGCCCCGCAGATAGCGTAAGTTTTAAACTGGCCATTAAACCTGCCTGTGACCTTGTCAGCCTCGGCCACGTTCATCTGGATGGATGCGTGGTCCTTGCCACCGATGATGTGGTTGCTGGCGGAGCATTTCCGCGCCAAGTACAGGTCCACGAACTCACCAGCGTCATTCTACATCTCGAGGCCACACCTGCTGCCATCACACCGCGCGCTAGTAGAAAAAGCTCTTTTTCTTTCTTTCTTTCTTCCTTTCTTTTCTTTCTCTGTCTTGTCTTGTCTTTTGTCCTGTCCTGTCTTCTTTCCTCCTCTTGTCAGTCTTGTTCTGTTGCCCAGGCTGGAGTGCAGTGGCATGATCTACTTCACTGTAGCCTCAAACTCCTAGGCTCAAGCAATCCTCCCACCTCCCCTTCCCAAGTAGCTCAGACTACAGGTACATGTGACTACATTCAGCTAATTCAAAAAACAGTTTTTTGGCCAGTCATGGTGGCTCACTCCTGCAATTTTAGCTCTTTGGGAGGCCGAGGTGGGTAGATCACCTGAGGTCAGGAGTTCAAGACCAGCCTGGCCAACATGGTGAAACCCTGTCTCTACTAAAAGTACAAAAAATAGCCAGGCGTGGTGGTGGGTGCCTTTAATCTCGGCTACTCAAGAACCCGAGGCAGGAGAATCACTTGAACCTAGGAGGCAGAAGTTGCAGTGAGCCAAGATCGCACCACCATTCTCCAGCCTGGGCAACAGAGTGAGACTGTTTTTTGAGGCTGTGTCTCGTTCTGTCGCCCAGTTTGATCTGAAGCTCCTGACTTCAAGAGATCTTCCTGCCTCAGTCTACCGAAGTGTTGATATTACAGGCATGAACCACCATACTGGCCTCCTTTTTTTATTTCCGATATTAGTAATTTGTGTCCTCTATATTTTTTTCTTAGCCTGGCTAGATGCTTATTGATTTTATTTGTTTTTTCAAAGAGCCAGCGTTTGGTTTTGTTGATTTTCTCTATTGATTTCTTTTTTTTTTTTTTTTAACTTTCATTCATTTCTGCTCTTATTTTTGTTACTTCTTTTTACTGCTCACTTTGGTTTTAATCTGCTTTTCTTTTTCTAGTTTCCCAAGTTGGAAGCCTCAGTTGCTTTTAGATATCTTTCTTCTTTTCTCTTCTTTTTTTTTTTTTGAGACAGGGTCTGGCTCTGTCACCCAGGCTAGCGTGGCCTGATCTTGTCTCACGGCAACCTCTGCTTCCTGGCCTCTGCCTCCCAAGTAGCTGGGAGTACACGCACCACCATACCCAGCTAATCTTTTTTTTTTTTTTTTTTTTTAATAGCAACAGGGTTTTGCCATGTTGCCCAGGCTGTCTTTTTTTTAAGGCTTGTCAAGGGAAAAAGTGGGAGTGGAGAAGGAACAAAGAAATCTGTAACTGGTTGTGATCAAGTAGTTGTAAACACCACTGCACTCAGACCAGCCTTTTTTTAAAAAAAAACTTATGTTTATTTTTAGGGGAGACAGGGTCTCACTCTGTCTCCAGTAGACAAAACCATGGCTGACAGCAGCCTTGAACTCCTGAGCTCAAGTGATCCTCTTGCCTTGGCTTCCAGAGTAGCTGGGATTACAGGCATGTGCCACCAAACCTGCCTAATTTAAAAATTTTTGTACAGATGAGTTCTTGCTATGTTGCCCAGGCTAATTTCAAATTCCTGGCTTCAAGTGATCCTCCCCCTCAACTTCCCCAAGTGCTAGGATTATAGGCGTGAGCCTGCATGCCCATCCAAATGCAAAATATTTTGCAATTTCTCTGGAGATTTCTTCTTTGACCTATGCGTTATTTAGAAGTGTGTTGTTTAATCTGCCAAATTTGGGGGATTTTCCAGCTATCAGTCTGTTGTTTACTTCTACTTTAATCCCATTGTGATCTGAGAGCATACTTTGTGTCATTTCTATTTTAAAAAGTTTATTGGCAGGCTGCAACCCTCAGGCCTGTAATCCCAGCACTTTGGGAGGCTGAGGTGGGCGGATTGCCTGAGGCCAGTAGTTTGAGACCAGCCTGGCCAACATGGTGAAACCCTGTCTACTAAAAATACAAAAATTAGCCAAGTGATGTGGCGGGCGCCTGTGCTATTCCCCTACTCGGGAGGCTGAGGCAGGAGCATCACTTGAACCTGGGAGGCGGAGGTTTCAGGGGGCTGACATCATGCCACTGGCAAGACCCTATCTTAAATTAATAAATAAATAGTCTGGGTGGGGTGGAGCCACCGAGCCAGGCCTAATTTTTTGTATTTTAGTAGAGACGGGATTTCACTGTGTTGCCCAGGCTGGTCTCGAACTCCTGAGCTCAGGCCATCCACCTGCCTTGGCCTCCCAAAGTGCTAGGATTACAGGCATGAGGCATAGCCCCTGGCACCATTTCTCTCTTTTTTTTCCTTGTTTTTTGGGTTAGCCTGCCCATTTCTAATAAGGGGGTATTGGAGTCTCCAACTATAATAGTAGATTAATCTATTTGTCCATGCAATTCTACCAGTTTTTGCCATTGATCCCCGTTGTTAGGTGCATACACATTAAGAATTAGAGTCCAAGAGTTTACAGGAGTTTAGAGCTGAGAATTTTGAGACCAGCCTGGGCAATATTGTGAGTCTTAGTCTCTACCAAAAAAAACATTTTTTTTTTTGAGACGGAGTTTTGGTCTCGTTGCCCAGGTTGGAGTGCAATGGCTCGATCTCGGCTCACCAAAACCTCTGCCCCATCGGGTTCAAGTGATTCTCCTGCCTCAGCCTCCCGAGTAACTGGGATTATAGGCATGTGCCACCACGCCTGGCTAATATTGTAGTTTTAGTACAGACAGGGTTTCTCCATGTTTGTCAGGCTGGCCTCGAACTCCTGACCTCAGGTGATCTGCCCACCTTGGCCTTCCAAAGTGCTGGGATTACAGCCGTGAGCCATCTGCCTGGCCCAAAATTTTTAATAAAGCAGAAAAGTTAGCTCAACGTGGTGGTGTGTGCTTGTGGTCCTAGCTATTCAGGAGGCTGAGGTGGGAGGATCATTTGAGCCCTGGAAGCAGAGACTGCCGTAAACCCAGATTGTGCCACTGTCCTCCAGTCTAGGCAACAACGTGCTTCATAGTTAATGCGAGTACCTCATGATAACAAAACAATTCCAATTCTTCTCCCTTCTGCGTATTGTTGCCGTCATTCATTTCACTTATACATCAATATACAATGTCTATGTGCATAATAAATGCATAGTAATCAAATACATCATTGTTAATATTTGAACCAACTGTTACCTGTTAGATCGATTAAGGATAAGAAAAGTAAAAGTTTACGGGGTGAGGTGGCTCAAACTTGTAATCCCAGCACTTTGGGAGGCTGAGGTGGGCAGATCTCCTGAGGTCAGGAGTTTAAGACCAGCCTGACCAACATGGTGAAACTCTGTCTCTACTAAAAATACAAAATTAGCCGGGTGTGGTGGCGCATGTTTTTAATCCCAGCTACTCGGGAAGCTGAGGCAGGAGAATTGTCCTCCAGCCTGGGCAACAAGAGCAAAACTCCATCTCAAAAAAACAAAACAAAACAAAAAGTACAAGTTTTTATTTTACTTTTACTTTGACCTTGTTCAGTGCTCTTTCTATCTTTTTTTTTGAGACGGAGTCTCACTCTGTTGCCCAGGCTGAAGTACAGTGGTGCAATCTTGGCTCACTGCAACCTCTGCCTCCCAGGGTCAAGCTATTCCCCTGCCTCAGCCTCCCAAGTACCTGGGATCACAGTTGCCCGCCACCACGCTGGCTAATTTTTGTATTTTTTTTTTGAGACGGAGTTTCGCTCGTTACCCAGACTAGAGTGCAATGGTGCGATCTCGGCTCACCACAACCTCTGCCTTCTGGGTTCAAGCAATTCTCCTGCCTCAGCCTCCCGAGTAGCTGGGACTACAGGCGCGCACCACCATGCCCAGCTAATTTTTGTATTTTTAGTAGAGATGGGGTTTCACCTTGTTGACCAGGATGGTCTTGATCTCTTGACCTCGTGATCCACCCGCCTCGGCCTCCCAAAGTGCTGGGATTACAGGCTTGAGCCACCGCGCCCGGCCCCTCTTTTTTTTAAAAAATATATATTTTATTGCACTTTAGGTTCCGGGGTACATGTGAAGAACATGCAGGATTGCTGCATAGGTACATACATGGCAATGTAGTTTGCTGCCTCCATCCCCATCACCTGTATCTGGCATTTCTCCCCATGTTATCCCTCCCAACTCCGTTCTATCCCTTCTCTAGTCCCCCCAAACAGACCCCAGTGTGTGATGCTCCCCTCCCTGTGTCCATGTGTTATTGTCCAGCACCTGCCTACGAGTGAGAATATGCGGTGTTTGATTTTCTGTTCCTGTGTCAGTTTTCTGAAAATGATGGTTTCCAGGTTCATCCATGTCCCTACAAAGGACAGGAACTCATTGTCTTTTATGGCTGCATAGTATTCCATGGTGTAGGTGTATATGTGCCACATTTTCTCTGTCCAGTCTATCATTGATGGGCATTTGGAGTAGTTCCAGATCTTTGCTATTGTAAACAGTGCTGCAGTGAACATACATGTGCATGTGTGCTTATGACAGAACAATTGAAAGGGTCTTGCTCTGTCACCCAGGCTGGAGTGCAGTGGAGTGACGTGCTCATAGCTTACTGCACCCTCAATCTTCTGTGTTCAACGGATCTTCTGGCCTCAGCCTCTTGAGTAGCTGGACTACAGGTACATGCTACTGCCCTCAAATAATTTTTATTTGTTTATTTTTTGTAAAGAGGGAGTCTCCCTGTGTTACCAAGGCTGGTCTCGAGCTCCTGGGCTCAAGTGCAATTCTCCTGCCTCACCCTCCTGAGTAGCTGGGAATACACTTGGCCTTCTAAAGTGCTGAGATTACAGGTGTGAACCACTGTGCCAACTTTTCTTTTTTTAGAGATGGGATCTCGCTTTGACGTCCAGGTTGAAATGCAGTGGCACAATTATAGCTAACTGTGGCCTTGACCTCTAGGGCTCAAGCAGTCCTTCCGCTTAGCTTTCCCTGTAGCTGAGACCAGGTGCCACCACGCCTGGCAAAGTTTTTTTATTATTTGTAGAGTCAGGGTCTCTCTGTTGCCCAGGTTGTTCTGGAACTCCTGGCCTCAAGTGATCCTCCTGCCTCGGCCTCCCAAAGTGCTGGGATTACAGTG